AAAGAGGGGGGGAGAGAGAAAGAGGAGGCAGCACTATCACCACCACCAGGAAAAAAAATCTTATGAAAAGATACTTCACATGGAAAGAAAAAAAATAAATAAAGGAACAGAAAAATAAAAATAACAGACAGGGAACATTCACCGGAAAAAACAGTGCCACCAAGTGATGACCAAACATACTGCCACGATCAGAAAGAAACTCCTGAAATTATCAAGAACCAGGGCTTAGGGAACCAGGAGCTAGCAGAGCTCAGGGAAGCTATGGAAAAGAAAAACAGAACCATCATATAAATGAAGATTGTGTTGGAAGCCAAACAAAGGAGAGTTATTCTGGATAAAAACACAGTAAGGGACATGGAGTTCAGGACTGAAAAAAAAATACCACCGATCAGAGAGTTAAAGAAGATTTAAAGGAAAATAACAGACATGGAAGAAAAACAAGAGAGGCCACATGTGAATAACTGTTTTTCCTAAAGAAGGAAACAAAAGCGAATGGAAAAGGAAATCATTAAAAATTTAATGAATGTAACTTGAATCTATACAGAAAAAAAGCACACCAGGTCCCAAGAAAAGCTATTATAGAACACTCATTATTAAAATATATCCTAGTAATGTCACCAGGCTTCACAGGTAAAGAAATTATCCTTAGGGCACATAAGCAAAAAGATATATCACCTAGACGTGGAAATAATTCTAGCATGGCCTCCAACCTCCCCATAACAACATTCATAGGTGGAAGACATTTGAACAAAATCTAATAAAGACCTCAGGGAAAGAAGGTTTGATTCAAAAAAAATGTCTTACCCAGACAAACTGTGACCCAATTATAACAGCAGTAGAAAAACTTGCAAACACACAGAAATGTGGTTTTTAGCACTTCTAGAAGAAACCACTCAAGGAACAACTTTGACCAACCAATAGATGAATGAATCAACCATGGCCAAAGTGCCAGCACTGAGTAGAGCCAGGACAAGAACAACTGGAGAATTATGCCTTTGCCAAATTTGTTTATTTTCCACTTTTCTGGGTCACACTGTTTTGGGTGTGTTTTTTGTAAACAGCACATAGTACATGAGACAGAATGCTCACTTGGAAAATATTAAGAATTTAGAAATAATATAGCCAACGAACAGTAACAAGGAATTAGTTATATTATGAAAGGAAAATGGGAAAGGTGTTGGGAGTTATGAATAAGTGCTGTCCTTCTTATGCGTTAAAAATGGGGGTGCAAATATACCATTTAAACCTGATATATAAAGGAATAGAGCTCTATTTAAATAACAAAGGTACAGACTACGAGAATTAAGCAAGTTACAACGAGGTGCTGGGGAAGCGGCAAGAGGACGTAGAAGTTTACTATTGCAGGGAGGCAATAGATACTATCTAAATAAATAGAGGAGGTAAAGTTTTCATTATCACGTTGGCCACTAGAACATAATATAAAACTTCCAAGTCATCAGAAGAAATAAAAACATAACAAAGCAGATGGCGCCACCAATATAGTGAAAGATTTAAAAAGAAGCCACAAAAACAGAAATCATAATATAAAATATGACAGCACCTAAGAGCAAAGATGCCTGTCATTTCAATAGATGTTAATATGGCTGATTTCAAATAATAAAAGAATCTTAGACTGACTCACAGAAAAACCTCAATTATATACAGTGTTTAAAAGACACACCCAAATCAAAGCATCTCTGAAAAGGTTAGAGTAGAAAGTTGTGCAAAGACAGGAGTCTCTTCTTAAAATGAGCCGAATTTGAATTCTAGGTAAAAGCATTAGATAAGACAAAGAAGCGGGCTTTATAATGATAAAGGTACAGTAAACTATGAAAATCTAACAGTTATGAATATCCAAGAACACAAATAACACAGAATCAACATGCATGAAGCAAAAACTATACCACATAGAAAATGAAAATAATAGAAACACCTGTCAGCCCGTGATAGATCAAAAAATTTTAAATAATATATAAAATACCTAAATGACAATAATTAATAAGGTGGATGTGCTTGGTGTTCTTTGAATTTTATACCCTGTAAGTAGAAAATAAACCTACTTTTCAAGAGTCATGAACATTCACAAAAATTGATTATATAGTAGGTGAGAAACGAGTTTCACAGTAAGATCCAAACAATGAAAAAAATCCTTTGATCAAATTTCAATAAGCCACAAATTAATTGCAAAAGTAGAAAGCAAAGGAAACTACCACTGGAAAATTACATAAACAAACATCTCCATCTGAAGCAACTTTTGGGCAAAAGAGAAATCAAAACCCAAATTACAGAATATTTAGAAAAGGATTGTGAACACCTGCATGTTAGAACCTACGAGATTCATGATAACACAAACTCCTAGCCTTATATTTTCTAATATCAAACAGGCAGAACGAAAATAATTGAATTGAGCATCCAACTCAGGGAATTAGCAAAAGAACAAAATAAACTCAAGCAGAAGAAATGAATTAATAAAAATGAAAACAGTAACTGACATCATAAAATAAAAAAGATTAGCTAAAGATGACCAAATAATCAAATGATTAGCTAATTTCATACAGAAGAAAGGAAAAAGACACTGATATAGGAAATAAACAAAAGTGGGGAAACAACCACAAACACAGAGGAAATTAAAAGAATTATAGGAGATGTTTGAAAAATATACAGCAATACTAAGGAAATGAATCTCAAAATGTATTCACCAAAGAGGCAAACTTATACTTCCTTAAAGTCAATATTTCATTGTAAAACACTTGAGGCAGTGGCTTGGATTTTGTAAAAAATCGTTGTAAAACTGAAGATATAACTTACTCTTTTAGCAAAGCATAGAAGGTCTGGTCTATCAGCACTGAGGCTATGCCCTTATTTTGAAATATAACCCAATTTCTAAATGTAATTTTTTCAAAGATTCTACAGTCCCATTGAGATTTCCCATTTGAACTGTCCAATTTAAAATCTATAGTTAAGAATTCAGGCAACATTTCTCCTACATGGATTACTTACCACGGCTTATGGCATCTGGGTTAAAACATTAAGTCAATAAAAATAATTTACTGAATCATAATTGCTAAAAAATAGTTCCAGTCCAGTGAGATAACATTCCATTCCCAATTGGCAAGAAATTCAATATACTTATTTTCACACTGCCTCTGGTACATTTTCTTTCAATTCAAGCTTATGTTTGTGCAAGCTTATGTTTGTGTAAAATGTTCACATATTTAAGTAATTTCTCATATTCACTCTCTCACAATTAAAAAAAGGAATCACTTCAATACCTCAAACTTATACGAGTTAGTGATGATTTACCTCTGGCTATAGATATTTTATATTTTTTTAATATTTTCCTATTTTATAGGAATATTTATTCCTAGTTATAGGGAGTATTATTAGAAAAGCAATAATCAAAAAAAGCATATGATAAGGGAAGTGGAGATTTGGAGAAAATTCTTTCATTAATATTAGAAAAGTAACCTCTGGAAAAATGGCTCAAACTTAGCGCTCGATTAAGGATGATTTTGCAGTCATTCTTGTATATACAGCATGGCCACACGTGTACAGCTCTAGTTCCTCTCACGCCCTTGGGCTCCCCTTGAGAACCACTCTGTGAGGCCAAGCAATGACCATGTAAGGGAAACAGCCATATGCTGAATAAGGTACCTGCTGGCGTATTCATAGAACAGCTTAAGGGGACACACGTGTGTGCACGTGTTGATGTGCACCCTTGGACAGAATGAAGGAATTGTAGAACATTTAATGTGGGAAGGACACTAAGGAAAAAATCTGGTTCAACCTTCCTTTAAATCCTCTGACCTTCCAAAAAACAAAACACAGATGAGACCACTGGGAACCAGAGGAGTGATTTCATTAGTTCCAGACCACAAACCCGTTGGAATAAAAATTCCAATAAAGGGCCTTCTGAACTTTGCCTAATATGCTGTTAACTCTAGTCCCACTTTGTTACTGGATATTGTGTGCAGCTTCAGAAGGAAAAAAACAAACACAGAAATGCCTTCTATAATTTCTCCATTCAAACTAGAATCATAAGAATAAGAGTAATCATAAGAGTAATTTGCTTCTGAAAATCTGAGTAACCAGTGAAAGAGTATACCTCTTGTCAGTTTAGAGGACAAAGTTGAGACTGGTGTTAATATATAGTGTTTTATGGAATCTCAGAGGTCTCCGAATCCATACTGTAACCGCCCTCAGTAAATTAACAAGAATTAATGAATTAACTGTATTAATCTGAATTAACTGTAATTCAGGTCCCACAATCTACATGTCATCTTGCCTTCAACCTCAGGACCTCACATCTCAAAGCAGATATTTAATGGCAGCTCTTCTTGAGATGAGCTTAACACACATGTCTGGGTTTGAGAAGACAGCAGTCTTGGGCTATGCATTTATTTACCTTTTTATTTCTCTACTTCTATACACCTTTTTTTAAAAAAAATTTAAAGCAATGTATCCTCATTAAAGACTCTCACTATCCTTGTAGAAAACACAACCCTGTGTCTTAGGATGTACTAAGTTTAAATATAATTGGAACAGTAGTTTCTAGGGACTTCTTGACCTCAAATTGCCCCACCCGGCTTTGGAATTTGACAACATGGGTTTGTCTGCTAGAAAGGAAAAATCCAGCCAATTATAACAGAGAAGCAAGTTAAAGCGACTGCCATTTGGTCACCCACTCCACCAAAAAAGTAAAAGCATTCCTCAGCTGACATTTTGACAAAAGACTGCCACAAGGAAATGCATTTATTTATTTATTTTTTTTTTTTGCATAGGATAGAAATACCATAATATTCCGAGAATCAGAATTGAGGTGAGATTCAAATATCACGTGACCAGAAGACCAAAAAAAAAAAAAAGCTGTGAACCCTCCCTCCACAAAGAAGATGACTGTAATCGCAATAGTCTTTATCACAATGTTGCTGAAATATAAAATTCAGGATAGGTCCATGGATGACAGCAGTGGGGGCGTGGTTAGCAGAGCAACAAGGTACCTGTCTGAAGAACTCCTCCAGGAGTGACATCGTCCAGCGATGGTGGAGCTCCCAGGCTTTTGCTGGATGGCTAATGTCTGCCGTGTGCAACATCAGGGATAATGCTTTCGGCTTTTCAATCCTGTAAAAACCCAAAGGATCCAAACACATGATGACCAAACTTACAGAACCTCAGTAAGAGTTTTTAACAAATCACCATTTTTTAAAATCCCTTCCAGAACACTCTTTGACATAAATCATAGCAAGATTTTTTTGATCCACCTCCTAGAGTAATGGAAATAAAAACAAAAATAAACAAATGGGACCTAATGAAACTTAGGTCCCAGCAAAGGAAACCATAAACAAGACGAAAAGACAACCCTCAGAATGGGAGAAAATATTTGCAAACGAATCAACGGACAAAGGATTAATCTCCAAAATATATAAACAGCTCATGCAGCTCAATATTAAAGAAACAAACAACCCGATCCAAAAATGGGCAGAAGACCTAAATAGACATTTCTCCAAAGAAGACATACAGATGGCCAAGAGGCACATGAAAAGCTGCTCAACATCACTAATTGTTAGAGAAATGCAAATCAAAACTATAATGAGGTATCACCCCACATAAGTTAGAATGGGTATCATCAGAAAATCTACAAACGACAAATGCTGGAGAGGGTGTGGAGAAAAGGGAACCCTCTTGCACTGTTGCTGGGAATGTAAATTGATACAGCCACTGTGGAGAACAGTATGGAGGTTCCTTAAAAAACTAAAAATAGAACTACCATACGACCCAGCAATCCCACTACTGGGCACATACCCAGAGAAAACCATAATTCAAAAAGACACATGCACCCCAATGTTTATTGCAGCACTATTTACAATAGCCAGGTCATGGAAGCAACCTAAATGCCCACCGACAGACAAATGGATAAAGAAGATGTGGCACATATATACAATGGAATATTACTCAGCCATAAAAAGGAACGAAATTGGGTCATTTGTAGAGACGTGGATGGATCTAGAGACTGTCATACAGAGTGAAGTAAGTCAGAAAGAGAAAAACAAATATCATCTATTAACACATGTATGTGGAACCTAGAAAAGTGGTACAGATGAACCGGTTTGTAGGGCAGAAATAGAGACACAGATGTAGAGAGCAAACGTATGGACACCAAGGGGGGAAAGCCGTGGGGGGTGGTGGTGGTGGTGGGATGAATTGGGCGATTGGGATTGACATGTATACACTGATGTGTGTAAAATCGATGACTAATAAGAACTCGCTGTATAAAAAGTAAATAAAATAAAATTCAAAATTTTTTAAAAATAAAAAATAAAAAAACAAAATCCCTTCCATTCTCCCATCTCAAACCCCACTGCAGCTGAACTAGGGGAAAACCATCAGTTCATCCTACAACTGGGATTTTCATCAGCAAGGTCTCCATGTTTATTGAACTGGACACCTCAGAAACTGACTCAAAACCATTCCTGGAATGACTGCCATCATTAAAAAGACAACAAGAATCCAAGAGTCACTCACGGACCTTTATTTGTTGCCTCTGCATTGAGTGGATCTTCCAAAATTTCATTTCTGACAGAAATATTTTAAATTCTAATTGGGGCAAATTGTTACTGGGGCAAATTGTTATTTCAGCCCTAATGAGAATATATCTTTGATAGGTACAATTCTCATGCTTTCTCCTCCAAGCATCATTATTTTATGAGATCACTAAATAAAGTCATATCGAAGGAGATAAAATTTAAAGGTACAGTGACATGGACTAAGACAAGGTCAAACACCTATGAAAACACATGATGTCACAGGCCCACTCACGCTTCTGGCTGCTGCAGAGCAGTCTTCATCGCTTTGATTTGCTGGAAATGACAGGACATATCCGTAGCCATCACCATCTCAATTACCAAGCTCCGAAACTCCCTTTCAGGGACACCCCATGGAGAAAAAAGGATAGAAGTAAAAAAATGGAAAGAAAAATTAGTTTATTCTTTGCCATTTCTAACCAAAATCAGTTATCCCCTGGGATGCAGGTGGCGGAGAGCCTGGGGCCGGGGTCTCCGGGGCCGCGGGCTGTTTTGGGGTCCGAAACTCCCTTTCAGGGACACCCCATGGAGAAAAAAGGATAGAAGTAAAAAAATGGAAAGAAAAATTAGTTTATTCTTTGCCATTTCTAACCAAAATCAGTTAATTAGTTGTGACATTTCGAATCTAACTTGAGTCTTTTAGGAGGACTTTTTTACGAAGAATAAAGGAAGGTTAAAGATTAAGGATATCATTTATTAGGAATATAATATGTGGAATGCACATATCATTTGGAAAATTAACTCACAGGAAAAATTCCAAAGAAACTGAAAGTGTAGTAAAGCATTCCTTTCTCTACTGAATTCAAGTTTTAAGAAAAAATTAATTTGAAATTAATCCTAGGAGGGGGACTGATAATCCATAGTACATGTTGGATATAGGTATTTCACTTTTTTAAATAGACTTTTTTAGAGCAGTTTTAGGTTTACAGAAAAATTGAGAAGACAGTATAGAGAGCTCCCATATACCCTCTCCCCTACTGCAGTTTCCCTCAATATTAACCTCTCACATTAATGCGTTACATGTGTTACAAATGATAACCAGTATCGATACCTTACATTCACTCCAGTCCATAGTTTACCTGAGGGTCCACTCTCATGTTGCACAGTTCTATGAGGTTTGGCAAATGCATACTCCATGTTCCCACCATTAACAGTATCAGACAGAATAGTTTCAACACCCTAAAGTCCCCTGTGCTCCACCTATTCATTCCTCTTGCTCCTGAACCCCTGCCAAACACTGATCTTTTTATTCTCTCTAAGAACTTTATTAAAGTAGAATTCGCATAGAATAAACTGCTTCCCTAAAAGTTGCACGTGTCAATTAATTTTAACAGTTGAGTAAAACTTTTGGAAGGACCACCACAGTCGTGGTTCTGAACATTTCCATCGCCCTCAAACCTCTTTGCAGCTCACCTCTTCCTCTACCCATAGGCCTCAGGCAATGTTTTATCTGCTTTATGTCTAGATAGTTTGCTTTATGTCTTTCTGGTTTTATTATATATGTGTGTGTGTATGTACTCATACATATGTATAACTAGAAAATGCAAACTAGAGAGGCATAAAGCAGATATATATGTGCATGTGTATATACACATATATGTAGAGTACATAGGTACATGCACATATATATTAAACTAGACACTAGGTATACACACTTATATGTATCTGCCTACGCACACACACACACACACACACACACACATATATAAAATACAAAATGTACTCTTATTTTTCTAGCCTTCTTTACTCAGCATAATGATTTGCAATTCATCCACATAGCTGTTCATCAGTAGTTCATTTGTTTTTACCACTGAATGGTATTCCATCATACGAGGACACCACAATTAATTTATCCATTCACCAGCTGATGGACATTCGGGTTATTCGATTCTAGTTTGGAGCCCTTATGAATAAAACTATGAGTGTTTATGTACTAGTCACTGTGTAGATATGTTTTCATTTCTTTTGAGTAAACACCTAGGAGTAGAATGGCTTGTTTATAAGATAGATGAGTGTTTATCTTTATAAAAAAAACTACCAAAAATTTTCAAAGTGGTTTGTATCACTTTACGTTTTGACAATCAGTGTATGAAAGTTCCAGATTTTCTATATCTCAGCCATTCTAAGGGATATGTAGTGATATCTCAGTGTGTTTTTCATTTGTATTTCTTTGATGACTAATGATGTCAGGCACCTTTTCATGTACTTATAGGCCACTTGTATATCTTTATTTAGGGAAATGCCTCTTTCAGACCCTTCCCCCCTTTTTTTTAAATTGAGCTATGACTGCTTTACAATATTATATTAGTTTTAGGTGTAAAACATAAGGATTCAAAATTTTTATTCCATTTAAAGCTATTATAAAATATTGGCCATATTCCCTATGTTGTACAATATAGTCTTGTAGCTTATTTATTTTACACATAGTAGCTTGTACTTCTTAATCTCCTACCTCTATCATATAAGTGATATCATACAGTATTTGTCTTTCTCTGCCCGACTTACTTCACTACACATAAGACCCTCCAGGTCCATCCATGTTGTCGCAAATGGCAAGATTTCATTCTTTTTTATGTCTGAGTAGTATTATGTACATATACCACATCTTCTTTATCCATTTGTCTGTTGATACACACTTAAGTTGCTTCCATATTTTGGCTATTATAAATAATGTTGCTATGAACATTGGGAAGAATGTATCTTTTCTAATTAGTGTTTTCATTTTCTTTGGATATATACACAGGAGTGGAATTGCTGGGTCATATGGTAGTTCTATTTTTAGTTTTTTGAGGAACCTCCATACAGTGTTCCACAGTGGCAGCACTGATTTACATTCCCACAAACAGTGTACAAAGATTCCCTTTCTCCACATCCTCCCCAAGATTTGTTATTTGTGGTCTTTTTGAGGATAGCCATTCTGACAGGTGTGAGGTGATATCTCATTGTGGTTTTCACTTTCATCTCTGATGATTAGCGATGTTGAGCATCTTTCCATATGTTTGCTGGCCATCTGTATGTCTTCTTTGCAAAAATGTCTATTCATGGACCTTACCCTTTTTAAAATTGAGTTGTTTGTGTTCTTCTTATTGAGCGGTAGAAGTACACTATACATTCTGGATACAAATCATATGTAAGATATATGTGTTGTGAATAACTTCTCCTACTTCCTACCTTGCTTTTTTTTTTTAACAGTGTCTTTCGAAGAGCAAAAATTTTAAATTTTAATACAATTTAAAAAAATTTCATTGGAGTATAGTTGATTTACAATGTTGTGTTAGTTTCAGGTGTACAGCAAAGTGATTCAGTTACACTTATTCATATATTCATTCTTTTTCAGATTCTTTACCCATCTAGGTTACTGCAGAATATTGAGTAGAGTTCCCTGTGCTATACAGCAGGTCCTTGTTGGTTATCTATTTTATATATAATAGTGTCTGTATGTTAATCTAAATTTTAATACAATTTTTTTAATGCTTCATGCTTTTTGGGGTCCTATCTGAGAAACCTCTAACTACCCCAAGGACTTTGTTTTCCTCTGGAAGTCTTACCATTTTAATCTTTTATACTTGGTCTATGATCAATTTCAAGGTAAATTTTGAGTATGGCGTGAGGTAAGGATAAAACGTTTTTTTCATATTGATATCCATTTGTTCCAACACCACTTGCTGAAAAGCTTTTCCTTTCCCCATTGAATGCCTTGGATGGAGATGATGATATAGATATAGATATAGATATAGATATAATCTATACATACACACACACACACACACACACACATAGACTAGCAGCAAACCATTGGAAAATAAATAAAATAATTTATTTTACAACAGCACAAAATATAAAACACTTAGTAGTAACTTTAAAAAGTAAGTGTAACTCCTGTTCACTGAAAACTACAGAACACTGCTGATTAAAGAGGACCTAAATAAATTAAGCGATATACTGTCATCATGTAGCTCTTTAGCATTTCTTAAAATGCAGCTCTGTTGGTGACAGATTTCTGTAGTTTTCCATCATCTAAAAATAATGTTATGTCATCTTCACTTTTAAAGGATATTTTCATGGGACAGAGCATTCTGTGTCAACTTTTTTGTTGTTGTTTCTTTTAACACTTTAAAGACATTATTCCATTGCCTTCTGGCCTCCATGGTTTCTGATGAAAAGTCCAAAGTAAATCAAATTGTTCCCTTGAATGTAATGTGTCATTTTTCTCTAATTTTATCTTTGACTCTTAGCAGTTTGACTATAATATGCATGCAGGTATGTTTTTCTTTGAATTTATCCTGTTTAAGCTTGCTGAGTTTCTTGAATCTATAAATTTATCTCATTCACCATGTTTGGAAAGTTTTCAGCCATTATTTCTTCAAACATTTCTTGTGTCTCATTCTCTCTCTCTCTCTCCTGTCTTTCTGAGACTGTAGTTGTCCCTATGTTTGACCACCTGAAAGTGTTCCATAGGTCCCTAAAACTGCTCATTTTTAAAAATCTTTTTTTTCTCCTACTTCTTCAACATGAATAATTTGGATTGATCTTTTCAAGCTCACTGAATTCTTTATTCTGTCCTCTCCAACTTGCTACTAAGCCAATACAGTGAATTTTCAATATAGATATTTTACTTTTTCAGTTCTAAAATTTCTGTGTGCTCTTGCTTATATTGTCAGTTCACTGGTTAAATTTTACAGTATTTTATTTATTACAAGCATATTTTCCTTTACCTCACTGAGCATAAATATAATAACTGCTTTAAAAGTTCTTGTCTGATAATTCCAACAATAGTTCATCTTGGAGATTGCATCTGTTGATTGTCTTTTCCCTTGCAAACAAGTCACATTTTCCTGCTCTCTGTATTGTCATTGAGACTGTCACAGAATTTAAGTTTTCCCTTATTTGGCAATCTCTTTTATGGAGTTCTAATTCACTTGCTAGCAGCTCTGGTAGTTCCTACACTGGTTTCTCTAGCCAGAAACATAGTGGAGGTTTTTGTATAAATATAGCTTTATCCACCTAGTGTTGCCTTGACTGAGACTGCCTTCAGAGTAAAGACACAAAACGTCACACTCACCTCATCCTGTCAGACTCTCCAAATTTTAACACATCTCCAAAATTTGTCTGATTTTGTTTACTCTCTACAGCTCTCACGTCATTGGAGGTTGTGTTTATTTGTGTCTTTATATTTTGTCCATAGTTTACAGCTTTATTTGCAGGAGAATTGCTTTATCAGTAGCTGATTTGGCCTGCTCAAAGTGGAATTCCGTACTTTTCCACTTTGAAATGCAGTAAATACCTGGTAATACATTCATTTAGAAAGGTCCTAAAAGTCTAATGCATGTATGTATCCAAATAAAATCTATCAGATATTAAATTGCTTTCCTAGAAAGACACGGGACACTAAACGTATGTTGTCTTTGGGTTGATGGGCTTAACTGAGAGCCCTTAATAATAAGTTAATATTTTATTTGTGAGATAATACCACTGTCTTAGAGCAATGTAGCTGAACATTAATAAAATATGATAAAATAATAAAACAATATTTTAAAAACTGTCCTTAAATGAAAATATAACAGAACACTAAATCTATGTAACTTAAGTTACATCAACTACAATCTTTTCTTAACCTACAGAATCCTCAAAAACAGGAGTAGCAAAAGAGCATGGCACTATGGGCTATAATTATAAAGTTTCCACTGAATCAGAATGTTCCTGTACCTGAGATGTTCCATGATTCTAAATCAATTATACTTCACTCTCTCTCTGAGATAGTAAAGATAATGCTGAATAAAAAACACAAATATTTAAGGCTAGTACATAAACAGATTTCATTAAACTATATTTTTCAAGTAACTAGTTTGACTTTTTTCACATTAAATTCACTTAAGTTTTGCTGGATCCCTCAGTTTTACAACTTGCTTTGGTCAGAGGTAGTATCCAAATTATTCACAACTAGTTCTTCACAAATACCCACCGATAGGAATGCAGAGCTAATGATACACAATTAGGATGGTTGCACCGGTGAATATCAGCGCATTCCAGTGTGAACTGATATACTCTGGTCTGTTGCAATGATTCCGGGTTTCGATATTGCCGAAACCAGCCTCACTAACACAGTAGCAGACTGAACAATGAACGAGGCTTATGGTCATAGCAGAGTGGAAACACAATCAATCTAAGCTAAATTTTGACAAATGTATAGTTAAGCAGAAATAGAAAACCCTTAACAAAAATACAGACAACAGAGGTGGCATATCTATGCTTTCAAAATAGATTAAGAGGCAATTATGCCCATCCAGCCATAAATCCCATGTGCTCACAAATCCCACAGGCCAGCAATATCAGTGCATTACCTGAAAGCAATTTGACAAAGTTCAACACGAGCCTTAAAACAACACACATTCTTTGATCCATTAATTCTACACATAAAAATACATTAAAGAGATGTTCATTACAGGATTCTTTATACTAACCAAAACACACGAACACACCCATACTCACACACTCAAAAGTAATTATGGGACCTCCATAGATGGAGTATTATACAGCCATTTAATATCATATTTTCATTATCATGGGACAGTGGCCATGAGAACATACCACACAGACCACCAACTACAGGAATTTAATTGGCTACGGGCCTCAGCTACTACATTCTGAAAACTATTGCCATTTTTGCCCAAGGCCATGCTTCCCATGGGCTGCTCCAAGCCAATGACTGACGGCATCCCTTCCTGGGAGACATGGGACTCCTCTGATGGCCGACTTTGTCTCAAGAATTTCCTGACAGCCTTGCTGAACTTTTTTTTAGGATGCACGGAGATCTAGGATACTTCTACCCAATTTTCCCTCTCTCTCTCCTTCCTCTCGGATCAAAGGGATATATCTGAATAGGTGTAAAGCTGTTCTCTGCCATATTCAAATCTTTTATTATACTTTTACAAACATTTCAATTGGATAGAGGGCTCCTTTTCCTACAAGATTTGCATTGATTAACTGAAATGCTCTGCATTTTTTAGATGCTGCTTAAATCTAACATTTCCCAACAAAATTCAAGCCAAATAGTCCTCTCTGTTTTATAATGAACTAGAGTTGCATGGAAACTAATAGCCAACTTACTGAAAATCAGTTTCAGATTTGTTGTTCAGAATGGCTTATTTCTCTGAATCCTTGCATAATGGTACAGAGATACTCAATAAACAGCTGATCATTTAATTAAAATTAAGTATTATTTGCATCACAGTAGATTCAGAAGTTTTTAAGCATTTAAATGATTTTGCCTACAAGCTTTGAAACACCTTCACCTATATTACGGATCTGCAGGCTTGCTATATGTGTCACAAACTGTGCTAAGCATTTTAAATGGATTATATCATGTATTATTACCCTAACCAAATTACAAGCTAAATGTTATCTATTTTCTAGAAATTAAATTTTAAAAAGGTGTAAAGGGGTTGAGTAACTTCCTAAATATCATACAGCTAGTAAATGATTGTGTTCACATTCAAACTCAGGTCTGCCCAAATTCAAAGACACATAGTGCCACTTAGGCGACAGAATTAAGTGCCCATGATTATTTTAAAGCGTCAATTTCCTTAGCAAATTTTGAAAGATTTTTTTTAAGAAGTCCAATCCAATATAAGGTGAAAGAAAAGTTAATTGATGAAATTCAGGTTTAAGAAGGTAAGATAAAAAGAACACAAGTTTCCTAAGGCAACCAACAGCAAATATTCCCAAGGTGCCTACACTATATTTGAGTATCTGTGTCAAGAAAGAGAAGAGAGATAGAGAAAGAAAGAAACAGCAATGACAATTTCAAACAGAGTATTATTTCTTCAAAAGATGCATGCTCCGTCCCTCCTCACGGCTCCTTTCCTGGCCTCCTAATCTCTCTCTTAGCTCCTCCTTACCTCCAGTCATCCTTTGAGAGGTTAATCAAAATATTCATTTCCTCATCCTCCTGTAGAAGGCGATAGGCTGCACTTAAATGGTGATTTTCCAAAACAGACCTATCATTGTACAGAATCGCTGGGTCAGACCTGAGAGGAAAGCCAAGCAAAATAATTTAGGATGTTGAACAGCTGAGATTTTTCAGGTAACTCTCCTAAAGGTAGAATACACCATCTCTTTATCCTATTTTAGCAATTAACTTTGTCCCCATGTCATTTATATCGACCAAAAAGCTAACACCAACACTACAAATTATCAATAGATGTACATAGAATATTTTAATGTCAATATGTGGATGTTATTTCACATGGGATATCCAACTTGAGAACTCTCTGAAAACTATTCTGTAAGCAGATCTCAATTACCTGCAGTAGTGGCAAAGGTGATTATTTAAAACATGTGGGTCATGTCAAACGCCCTTATATTTTCTGGAATGACTTTTTATTTTTATTTTATTCAATGAGAGAATGTGTTTATATTTGTTTTAGTTGTAATTCTCTGAACACATACTACCTGGCAGGTACAGTTTTCAAGTTCATCTGTTAGTAGCTTGACCTTAAAATTTTGCCATGCAGAAGCCATACATGGGAAATTGAGGAAGGGTTATATGACCATTGTTAGTCGCTTTCTCAAACAGCTGAATGACACCAAACATAGGGCAGTATACTATTTTAATATATTTAATTTAATGAAACCTTAGATTGTTAGAGCTTATTCATTTCTCATCAAGGAGGCTAAATCCCAGAGATATAAAGTGAGAGTTCACAGAGCCCCACAGTGGCTAAGTGGCAGCATTGGGATGAAGGTAATGTCTTCTGACAGTTGAGCCATTTCTCCCCAAGATAACTTCCACCTGTCATCGGCCAAACTTTGGGATATATTTAGCATACCTTTAAAGTGTTAGGCTTAACAGTCTGTCCATCAAAGGGCAAAGAACCAGGTCACAGATTTAGTTTCCTAAACAGGGATCTCACAGGCTGAGATGCTTTGGATAAAATTCAGTTTAAAGAAGGCGAATGTTTAAATTTCATTCCAAAGCAAGCTCAATTGAGCCCTCTGGCGTTTTTCCATTCCAATGGACGTAACACAAAACAAGCAAATCCCGAGGTGAAGGATCTAATCTTATATCCGCTGAGTAAGTAAGGCACCAACTGATGTGTATTTTGTGACATTAAGCTATTTTCCAACTACTGTAATTAAGCCATTTCCCCCTGAGTTGTGACTACTTTTGACACTGGTCTCCAGCCAAGATCCATGTACAACTCTGTTCCACCCACGTCTCTTCCTTCAGCAGGTGCTATTCACGGCTGTCTCTTCCTCAGAGCAAAGGTTCCACTGGCAGATAATCCATTAAACAGAGATGCTCTGTGGAATCACTGTATTCAAAGACCTTGCAACAGAACTACAGAAGGCTGCTTCACAGCAGCCAAAACTACTCTGTGAGGAAGCAGGAGGCAGAAGATGAAGCACGTGGCTTAGGTCCTTTTGTCCGCTTCCATTCTGCTGAAATCCCCTTCTGAGCAGAGATCAGACGATGTTGTCGATATCGTCTTCTTTCGTGTACCCCATAATTAAGTGCTGGCTTCGTTAAATAATGTATGGAATGACTTAACAAACACAAATCTATCTGGAGTGCGCACCTGCTTTTTTCAAGTGAAATCATCAAGTATTTATTTAGCCTCAAACTCTCAACCCTCCCCACTATATTCTTTCTCTGTGTCTCACCACCTTTTTCCAATTCTAGCTTCTTTTGTTTCCTACCTCAAGACCCTATTAATCCTACTGTCAGAGTCTCTCCAGTTCCACATGATTGTCTTAAGAGAAGCTAAGTTCTTAGACCCGGAGAAGGCAGATAAGGTTTCATCCTAAATGGAAATGACAGCTGACTGTACTGCTTGCCTGGAATTCTGTGCTGAGAGGAATACTAAGGATAAATCTGCAGTTTGTTAAGAAAAAAAATACCAAAATCAATTAGTGATGCCTGTTACAGTCAAGAGGTTCAGAGGCAGGCAATTGGACCTGTATTTAATACCCCCACAGAGGTTTGTGTCTACCTGTGAAGTTCCTTATGGAGGGTGCAAAGTGGCCTACATGAGACAACCTAGCTCCCCAAGCCCTGTGCGAGGGAGTAACATATGCACTGAACAGAGCAGAGATGAAATCAGGGAGGATGAGAAGAGCATCACCAGAATTCCAGAGGTAAGATGGTAAGATGGCTCTGCCATTGTTAATGTCAACAGACTCACTCCAATCCTTGCCCGTCCTCAGTGATTTAGTCTACATGGTATCTGCACCTTTATGGAAACTGTTCCACCTCCTATTAGAAATGGGTAGAGTATGCCTAGTACATACATACATAAATAGCTAGCATTATAATAGAGAAGAAAAGGATATCCATATTTAATGTGAATAACATAGGAGAATTAGGAGCAAATGGCTTCTTTAAGTTTTGATTGAAGCTGACTGGGCTAATCTCTTATTTATAATTTCAGTTTTTCAGAAACTCAAAATAGAGCCACCATGCAAAAGAAAGGTGACTGCACCCCTCTGACTTCAACACTCTATCCCTGCCCCCTCTTGAGGTTTCAACATCCTCACCGGGTCTGAATGTGGAAATTGTTGGTGGTTCCGGTGTGCTCATAGTCATGGATGGCAGCTGAGAAGATTATAGCAAAGATCTCCAGCTCTGTCAGCCAGTTCTGAAAGGGAGATTACAGAGCAATCAGATAATCTGTCTCCTTCTCAAAGTCTTCAGCCTGCTGACAACACACCCACGTTGCTGCCTTTCCTCTCTGCAGCTGGCAAGCTATTGCCAAACACACATTTTCTGACAGACAGAAATGTTTTTTTTTTCCTTCTGTAGGGAGACTGGAGGATGTGTGATTTGAAAACAGCATGCCCAGCACAGTTGAAAGAGCTAACTAGTAGTTTTTATTTTATTTTTTCAAAGAAGCAAAAAACAATGAACATGAAAACTTTAACAGCCCTCATTGCATCCTCTCCCAAATTCCAAATGAAGTTCCTAAGTAGACAGAGAAAAAAAAAAGAATTTGCTTCAACACAATACCCAAAACTAAGAGTAACAGAGAACCTAATGCCTATCCACTAGAAGGAGGATAGGTAGAGACAGATGGAAAGATAACATCTGGTCTTCTGCCTTGTGCAAGCTGATGTTTGAAGAGACCTGTCCCCATCCACATCACCAAAACTGGCTGTAGCTCAGTGGTCCTCAAATTGTGTTCCCTGGAACCTCAGTGTTAGTTATCACCTGGAAAGTTGTTAGAAATGCAAAACCCCACCCCAGTCCCACTGGATCAGAAACTCTGGGTTGCAGCACACCAATCTGTGTTTTACCAAGCCATCCAGATAATTCTGACACACGCTGGAGTTTGAGAACCACGGCTGTGTTTGAAGCTCCCTCAACTGACTTCCATTTCAGAGACTCTATGGATTCATTGATGCCTCCCCTCCCTTCTGTAAACCACACTGCTCAATGCCCACAGGATGGAGCTTCCACACTCTCACCTCACCCTTTGGTATCCCTGCTTACTTTTGTACTAGTTGAGTTAATGATTCCAAATTTCAGTGTGGTTGATCCCAAACCCAATTTTAACAAATTGCATTTATTATTATAATTATGTAATAAAATATAACCTAAACCAATGCAATGTGAATACAAAAAGTTATGTCCATAGAAGTTCAATGCTTTGCACAGTCACTAAAAGGACTGGTATCATAATAGGTGTGACAACTGGGAAACAGCAGAAAACAATTATAAAAATTCAGGGAGATTCTGCACTCAGTTTTCTTCATGAGAATCTTTATGTTCCCATTTCCTTTTAAAGAAATGAAACTAGAAGTCTTAGACAGGAGCAGGGGTAATGCAAGACAAACAAGAGTACCTAAATTGGAAGAATTCAGAAAGCAGCCTGGGTACTGAATTAAAGATTAGTGAATAAAATATATTTATTTGATTTAAGTTAACAAAATGATTTAAAAATGAACAGGTCAATTTTTAATAATTCTCACTTTTTTCCAATTATTACTAATTTTCATCTTCATCTAAGAAACTTACTGAAATTATTACCTTCTTTGAAGATGGCTAAGGGAAAAATAAATAAATTACACACAACCTATGAAAAAAAAGACTTCAGAGTTAAGGAAAGAATGAGCACAGAAATAACTCAGGAAAAAAAATACATTTAAAAAAGTGATTTCCATTCTGAGAAAGCCTCTGTGCCATTGCCTCAAAGTGGAGTGGCTACTGCAGATGGGAAGCCAGAACCCACTTCTGTCAGTTGATAGCTTGTTTTGGGAACCAGTTGACTTTGGAGGATCTGTAGTTCAAATTCTTTAAACAAGTATTTCTGACCGTCTCTCACTAAAGGACAACCCAGACTACCTTGTTTTTCTTCTGGGTTATCAAGTGCTACAGTCAAAACTAAATGTTGGGGGAAGGGACCAATAGTGTCTGAAAGTTGTAGATGTCTTCCCACTCTAGGCAAGAAAGAGAGATAGGTGATTCCTGTCAGAGCTGCTGGGATTGAGAGTATTTGGCACTGTGCTTAACTTAAGGGGAGAGAGATTTGTGTAATGCTATTTCCCAAGTCTTGGGATACTGATGGACCCAATGGCTGGATAACTCTGTCTAGCAGCCTGTGTTTTAGCCTTTCCTCACCTCTCATCTAATTGGGTAATCTGAAGCCCCTCCCCTCAATGAACTCTGACCTATAGCCTCTGAGAAAATAGCTCACAGGACTGGGCCCTCCCTAACCATCCATCTTACTTCTTACCTATGTAAATTTCTGTAGTGGCTATCTTATGTAAGATACAATAAAAAAATTATTGTACATAGCTTCTATTAAGTGTTAAAATGTCACGACAATGTAAAACAAAAACAAACAAACAAAAATGATTTCTAGCAGAATCCAGCACGAAATGTAAGGAAACGTTTTGGAATCCTTGATAATATGTCGCAAAATACAAACTGATGCATTACCAGGAGCAGAAAGACACAAGGAGAAAACAGAATAAGGTGAAAAATCAACAGAATTAAATAAAAAAGAGATGGGTAAATAAGTGCAGGTTGCAAGGAAACTGAAGAACTCTTCTGAAAGCAGCAAAGGGCATCATCCTCATCAGGGTTAACACTTATGGGAGCTCACTTTGTGTTGGCTTATTTATACATAGAAACTCATACAATATATACAACTCCATAAAGGTAGGTACTCTGTCATCCACATTTCATAGATGAGAAAACTGAGGCTGGGAGAGGTTCAGTAACTTACCCAAGGTCTCAGAGCTAGTCCTGAGACAAGCCACACCCTCTGACTCCAGAATTCTTACTTATAATTTTTAAGTCACGTTTCCTTTGGGTCACTGTTCATGTGTTTACTCAATTCTTCATAGAATTACATAGGTATGATTTTATATTACAAATTTTCTTGATATTTTCCATTCATATGTATTTTTCTTATTTTGGCAATGTCTTTCTTTTCTTCCCCAACACCCTGTCCCCACCCATCTGCCCCAACTCCCTCTACCCACTCCCAAGTACCAATGTATCTCTTTCTCCAAGTTCATGCCAAGTTAATTTAACATGTTAAAATAAGATCATGAATGGGAGACAGTGTACCATCTAAATAAATCTGAATCACAGAGCATTAGCCCAGCCAACAGAAAGTGTCTAAGTAACTACATAATCACAGTTCTCACAAACAGCAGTGTAACTCCTGTCCTTATCCAAATATACTGACAAAATCCTATCTTAAGTGTAACTTACTTCTAACAAACCAAAACCAACAAATGATTAAATGAACATACAACAAACAATAAAACCATAATGAAGATTGGACTGAGCAAGAATGGAATTGGGCATTTTCAGAATGAACAATGAAGCAAGTCCCAGTGGCAAAAGCTGATTCATCACCAGTAAGGAAATGATTCCCTTTAGTGGAGCAGTAATGAGGGTTGATTAGAGCCCTACGATGACAGTCATTAAAAGCTAAAGGAACACAAACCAGGTTCATTAGGCAGTGAAGTTTACATGTAAGAGAGTAATATGGTCAACATGCCACTGAAAGGGAGAAAGAAGAGCAGAGAGCACAAAGGAAAGAAATAAGAGCTGAACTTTTGGACTGCAAAGTCCTTATAGAATGTACAGACAGTATGGAGGTAGAATCCTTACAGCTGAGCAGTTCACTGAATGCAGAGGGGCAGGAAGAGGTTGCAGTCAAAGAAAACAATGCATTCAAGATGACCGTGACATTCCTAGTCTAAGCGGAAAGAAAAAATGGTGGGTGGCATTAGATGGCAGGATTAATAGAAACAGAAAGTGGGAGAAGCTATTTTGAGGGAAATGGGATTTAATATTTTAATATAGCTCAGATTTCCTTGCCTTTTCCAAATTCATTATTACTATGAACCCCGAAGGTTTTATGACCATCCATAAAATGTCAGAAATCTAAGTCCTGCGAGAATTTTATTCAAGATTTATCAAACTGTGACAAGTACAAGTCACAGATCCTATCCAGAATTTCCCTACCTACAAAATATGAGTGTCACAGCTAATTCAATGACAGGGATACCTTGACAACTGGTAAAGGTAGACTTTGAATTCTGCTGTGTATGACTCAGGAGAGCAAGCTGTGCATGTGTGTGGGTTGTGGGGGACACGTGGGGGGCAGTGAAAACCTGAAGGAAAAGACATGGATAATTCCCCATTGCTAGTGGAGACATTATTAGCAAGTTCTGACTTCGATGGGTAAATGATAGAGTTTCTTTAGTAATCTGTTTCCAACTCTTATTGGTTTTCTATTGCTCCCTTAACAGATTACCATAAATGTAAGGCACACACTCCCATTTACTGGCACACGGTTCTCTAGGTCAGAAGCCGGCACCATGAGGCTGGATTTTCTGGTGAAGACCTCACAAGGCTGAAACCAAGGTGTTGGCAGGCTGTGTTCCTCCCGGAAGCTCTGTGGAAAATCCGCTTCCAGGTGCATTCAGGGTACTGGCAGAATTCATTTCCTTCTCATGCTTTCCACTTGGGTCCTCCATCTTCAAGCAACAGCTGATTGAGTCCTGCTCACCCTTCTTCTGTCACATCTCTTGACTTTTAAGGACTCATGTGATTACACTGGGCCCACCTGAAGAATCCAGCATAATCTCCCTAGTTTAAGGCCCTCTGATTAGCAACCTTCTGTATCTGCAGAATCCCTTTTGCCATCTAATGTAACCTATTCACAAGTGTGACATCAGAGGGCAAAGGTCATGGGGGCCAAAATTCTACTGGCCACAACCTTTATAAAATTACTTAGCACCAAGATGCCATTTAGATAAATGTCCTTAGTGTTTCCCTTGTAAATACAATGATGTCATATATGATCAAAAGAATAAGATACACAGCTTCTCCCTTCTAAAAAAAAATAAGCAAAGGGAAAATTAACAGCACCTTGCCTGATAAAAGCAATGAAAGGGCCAGAGGACAGGTTTGGAGTCTGGAATCTTTTGACCTAACTCAAAAGCAGACTGGAGCTCAGAGTCTGATTCATATCTATTCAATCAACAACTCTTCAATCTAATTCTGTTCAAGGATTTTCTCTTAGACGTGAGCAAAGTCATTATGAAAAGATGCAAGCATCTCCTAGGCATCTTAGCTAAGCGATAATGAGTAATATAAACAGATTACAATGAGTAA